CAGAGCGAGATCCAGGAAAGCCAGAGCTGTTACACAGAGAAACTCTGCTTCGAAAAACCAAAAGAAAAAAAAAGTGAACTATTAATCTGTTACCACAAATATGGTCCTAAGACACATGTGCACATACATATAAAAACAATCACAAAAAGCACATGTAGAAACCCAGGATAAGTTGTAAGAACAAAGAACAGACTCAGACATACAACTACTGAAATAGGGAGTTATTAGGTCTATTTAATTGAGTAAAAGAATAAATGAAGATATCAAGTATGAGAGCATAACAGAGATGATAACATTAACAATAGGAAACTCTAGGCAGGAGAAACAGATCGAAGGACAGAACTGCATAAACACCATCTCAATATGTATGTTTAAGACCTAAATGTAACACCATTAACAGCCAGACATGGTGGTATGTGCCTACAGTCCCAGCCACTCAGGAGGCCAAGCAGAGCAATCACAAGTTTGAGGTTGGCCTGGATAACATTGCAATACTAAATGACTGGGGTGTAGGTGAGTGGTAGAATCCATGCTTAGCATGCTCAACGCCCTGGGCTCCAGCCCAGCACAGAAACCAGAACCAAACAAGACTCTTAACAGATATGAAAGAAGGCCAACATAAATAAGACATCATAAAATGATAGTCAGAAAGACTTTATGTTGTAAATATGTCCTCTTCTGACACTAAGTCAGTGAAATTCCAGGGGAGGAAAACGCCAGTAAACTTTTTTCTTGAATACGACCAACCTCATTCTAAAATGTATTTATTTAGAAGAAAAAAAGGTCAAAACAAGCAAGCACACCCTGAACAGCAATCAGAGGTTTGATCATATTGAGTAACAGTGCTATAAAAGTTTCAGTCATTTGGCTAGTGAGATGGCTTAGCAGTAAGCCACTGAGCCTGATGACCTGCTGGATCCCTGGAATCCATGTAAAAGTGGAAGGAGAGAATCCCTCCACAAGGTTGTCCTCTGACCTTCGCACACATGGCATGGTGTATGCACACCCCCACCACAAACAAAAAATAATGTATTTTTAGAAGTTACAGTACTTAAAACAGAGACGTCAGGGCTGGAGAGATGACTTAGCCTGTTAAGAACACTTAATGCTCTTCCACAGGATCTGGGTTTAGTTCCTAGCACTCACATGGAGGCTCACAATCAGCTGTAACTCTAGTTCCAGGTGATCTGAATGCCCCTTCCAGCCTCCATGGGAACCATGCACATAGTGGTACACAGGTATATACACAGACAAAACAAGTGTACAAATAAAACTTTTTCAAAACAAAACAAAATAAAAAACAGAGGTGGGATCTCAGACTGACTCTAAGAAGAAAATGGAGAATATGTACACACACACACACACACACACACACACACTAGTATAAAATCCCATATGCACAACCTGGAGGGAATTGTTGGCTTTCATGATTCCAGTCTTTTCTTTTCTTTTAATAATTTAAATCATGTGCACTGGTATTTTTGCCTGCATGTAGTCTGTGTTAGGGTGTCAGATCCCCTGGAACTGAAGTTACAGATAGCTGTGACTTGTGCTGTGGGTACTGGGAATCAAATCCAGGTCCTCTGGGAGAGCAGCCAGTGCTCTTAATCACTGAGCCGTCTCTTCAGCCCTCCAGTCTTTTCTATAAACCATTTCCATACAGCTATTAGAATGAATTGCCTAAAGCAGACAGATTATCATTATTATTTATTTTTGAGACAGAGTCTTTCTATGTAGTCCTAGAAAGCTCTATGTAAACCAGGCTGGCCCTGAACTCAGAAATCCATTTACTCTGCTTCCCATGTGCTGACATTAAAGATGTACTACCCACGCCTTTTACTTTAAGTTCTTATTTTCTTTTTTTCTTCCTTCCTTCCTTCCTTTCTTTCCTTTCTCTCTCTCTCTCTCTCTCTCTCTCTCTCTCTCTCTCTCTCTCTTTCTTTGTAGCCCTGGCTGTCCTACAATTCACTTTGTAAAACAGGTTGGCCTGGAACTCAACTGCCAGTCTCTGCCTCCCAAGCACTGGGATTAAAGGTGTGAGCCACCACGCCCAGCTTTAATTTTAGTTTTCATTATGTTTATATTTGTGCCATGGGGTGATATGTATATGTGAGTTCAGGTACATGTAGAGGCTAGAAGAGGTGTTGAATCCTTTGGAGCTGGAGAAATAGGCCTTCATAAGCTGGGAACCAAACTCAGGTCCTCCACAAGAGTAACCCCTCTTAACTGCTGAGCCATCTCTCCAGCACCCCTTTTTAAAAATAACGGCTTGGGGCCAGACAGATGGCTCAGTGGGTAAAGGCACTTGCTGCCAAGCCTGATGGCCTGACTTCAATGCCATGCTCCTGCAGAGTGGGAGAAGGGAACCGACTCCTGGAGGTTGTCTTTTGATGACCATCTGTGAGCCATGGCATGCAAGTTCCTCTCTCCTGCATAATTAATGATTTATAATATATAAAAAATTAATAGACTAAAAAAAGTTTGATGAATGAATGTTTCTAGGAATCAGATTAAGATTATTTTATCAACTCACATGGCACACAAAGCAACTGGGCAGCCTGGGTGTAATGGTTTAGAGCCGTGTGGAGGCACAGGGCCTTGGCTTCTTCATGTTATAGTCTTGGTGATTCAATGTCTGTTTGTAAGACAGAAATAATAGTGTCGTCTTATAGGATGGCGGAGGACAGTTAACTGAGTCACCACCACCAAAATAAAACTCTTTTTTCTTGCTTCTCCCTTCTCCTGGAACTGAGGATGTAGTTGGGATAAGCTGTTTGCACAGGTGCAGGATGTAATCGACTTATTTTGTACGGCCTAGAAGGATCAGCCCTGCTCCCTATACAGTCTTCTTTTGAAAGCTCAGATCAAAAGGAAACCTATTTGGAGCCTAAGGAAACAGTCTAAAAAGAGAATTAATGTTCTTCTTAACTTCCTGTGTACTGTGCTTTCTCTATTGCTACAGTTTTCACTATACTGTATTAAACATCACTACTTTCTTGCTCTTTTACTGCAACAGTGACCAATTTAAAATGGCAAGTTGGATTCAGAGGAAATAAAGACATCAATAGAAGTACTAATTGCTAGCTGGTAGGTAGTGTAGGCCTTTAATCTCAGCACTCAGGAGGCAGAGGCAGGTGGATCTCTGTGAGTTTGAGATCAGCCTGGTCTACAGAGGGAGTTTCAGGGCAGCCAGGGCTACACAGAGAAACCTTGTCTCGAAAAAACCACCACCAACAAAAAGTACTAACTGCTAAGTGAATGCTTACATCTTTTTTTTTCATTTTTATTAAGAAATTTTCTACTCACTCCACATACTATTCACAGATTCCCTCCTCCTCCCACCCCCAGCCCTCTTTCCCAAGCCACCCCGAATCCCCCAAATCGAGGTCTCCAATGGGGAGTCAGCAGAGCCCAGCACACTGAGCCTAGGCAGGTCCAAGCCCCTTCCCACTGCACCAAGGCTGTGCTTACATCTTTTATTAGAAAAAGATTTCGGGAGACTGGGTGTCTAGAATGTTTGAGAGCTTGAGCTCAAACCTAAGAACTGGAAAAAAAAAAAAAAAGACAAATTGATTTCTGGTGCCCAATTTTTATGTCCTATTGAGAATAATAGAGAAAATATTAAATGTTCATATTAAAGGACATACTGCACCCATACCGTCTTGCAAATACAGGTTTTGATGCAAATCTTGAAACAAATTTGTATATAATTCAATTATAATAACTAGTATAAAATATAAATAGGACAGAGGGCAGGAGAGATGTCTAAGTGGTTTAGGGCACTCTATGCTCTTCCAGAGGACTGGAATTCAGTTCCCAGCACTCAGTAGTTCATAACTGGCTATAGCTTAAGTTCCAGGAACCTGACACTCTCTTCTGGTCTTTGAGGGCACCAGGCTTGCATGTGGTGCACATACATTCATATAGGCAAAACACCCACACACATAAAATAAATCTTAAAAAGTAATAGAGTATCAGGAGTTCTTTCTCACTTTCCTTAATAAACCTGCATTAACTCTGTTTACAAAACAACAACTCTCCTAAGTTCAGGCAATTTCATAAATCAGTCCTGGTGAGAGTCGTCTAGCATAAATAAAAAGTGGTGCTAAGGAGAAAGGACATGTAAAATGCGATCTCTGTGAGTGAAAAGTCTTATTTAAAAATGAAGAACTGAATGACACACAGCCACACGGGAAGAGAGGTCACAGGCAATTTTGAAAATCAACTTTATTGGGGTATAATTTGATATATCATAAAGTTTACCCACTGTATGTATACAGTTTAAGTTTTAAGTTGTGCAGCCATCATCATATTTAGGTGTCATGTTTTTTTTTTTTGTATCATAATGCAAATTTTATTTTGAAGAGTCCTCTTTTTTTGGGGGGGGGAGCTGAGGATCGAAGCTAAACCCCCAACCCTTGAAGAGTCCTCTTAATGAAAACTGGGTGGAGATGAACTCTAACATTAAGTAGTTTCTATCTCTTCATCTGAAGTAACTTTTCCATTCTGACATATTCATTCATCTTTGTAGCGCACATGGATTTCAAAGCAGCAGGAACATCTTTTGCTATTATTAGGAAAGAAACTTGGTGGGTTGGGCAGACACCAAACAGCTCAGATTGTTTGGGACACGATTATATTCGATCCTTCTGTAAATAGATGGTTCCTCAGGATAAAAGGTCAGGCACATCCATCGGCTCACATCTGTAATCCCAGTCCTGGGGAAGCTAGGCTGCAGTGAGACTGTCTTACAAAACCAAACAACAACAGTGGCAGTTCCCAAAGGAACAAGGAGGCACTGAATGGAACCAACGATGGGCAACCACTTTTCTACTCCTCAATTTGGCTGGGGAAGGGTGGAATTCGCTCGGGGTTCCACGACCTATCTGTCCCCAGCCTGTGGCGAGCACAGAGGAAGGACCTTCGGTGTATTCACTAGGACAGAAAACCTTTCGGGAGGAAGTAATTGAGATCGGTTAGTTCCCTAACCCGACTCCTACCTGTGGAGAAGCAGAGCAAGAACACCCGCTGCTCCAGGCGGGCCAAGCCTAGCACCGTGGGAGCAAAGAACATGGCTTCATCGTCCGGGTGCGCGATCACCAGAAGGGCCCGGCTTCCGGCTCCCGGCAGGCCCGCCTGCTCCGGAGACCTCATTCGTTCCGCCAAGTCCCGAACCCGGAGGAAGCCCCATGTCAGGACAGCCACCGCCACACACAAGAGAGCCACCACTTCCATGCCGGGTGAGTGGCAGCGCGCCTGCGCAGTAAGGAAGGCTGGGTGTGGACTCGGGCTCCTGCGGGAAAACCGAACCCGCTGCAACTGCGTTCCGGGGTTAAGCGCTCGGTGGCCCGAGAACGGCGAGATTCGTGCTCTATCGTGGAAACTTCCACCCACACTGCGCCGTCCCATCTTTTACACAGCCACGGCAAAATCCTGTACCTGCCCCAGGGTCGGGGAGGGTTGCACCGAACTCTGTGCGGTCCAGTATCTTTCTTACCGTTCAGTGTGCGTAAAGGGAAGCGTTTCAGAATTATTTTGAGACCGTGTCTCGCTGTGTGTACCCCCGGGGACCCCTGAACTCGCTAGGTAGACCATTGCTGGTCCCGAATTTGCAATGCTTCTCATTCCTCCGCCTCCTGAGCGGGGACTTCAGGCGTGTCAGAGCACGCCGGCTAAAACGGAAGCCTCTGAAAATAAAACTTTAGCATTCGGTAGGGAGAGTTCCCTTTTCGCTTCAACTCGTTTTCTAACCTACTTCTTAGGACCCAAGTCTTCGTATCAACGGCCCGTTATCCGGATGAAAGTTTTCCGAAGCGGGTCACACTTGTTTTTGTTTTTTACCCCCCCCTCGGATGGCGGCGGCTCTGCGAGAAGCAGAGTAAAGCGGCTATGAGGCAACGTCATTTCACTAGAAGGGTGAGGCGGAGAGAGTGCGGTCAGGAGGCCCTCACATTCTCTTTAAGAGGTGGCGATTAAGGAAGCTACGCGGCGGCGGCGGAGGCCTGGCCCGCCATTCCGGTGAAGACTCGGTGTGACCCTTAACGAGCACCCCAGCCACGTGGGCTCGCTCGGGGTTCTGGCTCCGGCGCACGAACCGCCCGGGCGGTGCGCAGGGGTCGCCGGACGCCGCCGGGTCCTTTTCCCACGCCCGAGGGGGTGGGGGTAGGGGGAAAGGCCCC